TATACTACAGTGTACACTTTAATTTACACTTTGCCACGTGACATTATCCTGGTGGACAGTTTAAATTTCAAACATTTTTCCCATCCAATCGTCACTTGACAACAATGCAAGTGTAAAACAATGTGTCAAAAATCAGTTTACAAATAGCAAAGTTCAATCGGTAAGGACCTTACTAAATGTACACTGTGGTGTACACTTTAGTTTACTCTTTTCCACATGACATTACCCTGTCCGCCAGTTTAAATTTCAAACAGTTTCCTCATCCAATTGACACTTGGCAACAATCTAAGTGTTAAAGAACTGTTAAAAATCAGTGTACAAATAGCAAAGTTCAATCGGTAATTACCTTGCTGCATGTACTCTATGGCGTACACTTTAGTTTACACTTTGCCACATGACATTACCCTATTGGACAGTTTAACTTTCAAATAGTTTTTTCATCCATTTGACACTTGACAACAATGCAAGTACTAAACAACTGTCAAAAATCAGTGTAGAAATCGCAAAGTTCAATCGGTAAGAACCTTGCGACAAGTACACTTTAGTTTACACTTTGACATGTGTCATCACCTTGTTTGACAGTTTAAATTTCAAATGGTTTTCCCATCCAATTGACACTTGGCGACAATGCAAGTGTCAAACAACGTGTCAAAAATCATTGTAGAAATAGCAAAGTTCAATCAGTGTGAACCTTGCTACATGTACACTTTAGTTTACACTTTCCCATGTAACATTATCCTATTGAACAGTTTAAATTTCTGACAGTTTTTCTGTCTAATTGGCACTGGACAACAATGCAAGTGTCAAATAACATGGCAAAAATCAGTAAATAGAAAAGTTCAATCGGTAATAAGCTTGGTGCATGTATACCATGGTGTACACTTTTGTTTACAATTTGCCACGTGATATTACCCTATTGGACAGTATAAATTTCAAACAGTTTTCCCATCCAATGGACACTTGACAACAATGCAAGTGTCAAACAACTTGTCAAAAATTAGTGTAAAAAAAGAAAAGTTCAATCTGTAAGAACCTTTCTACATGTATACTATGGTGTACACTTTAATTTACGCTTTGCCACATGACATTACTCTGTTGGACAGTTTAAAATTCAAATAGTTTTCCCATCCAATTGATAGTTGACAACAATGCAAGTGTGTAACCATGCATCAAAAATCAGTGTACAAATAGCAAAACTCAATCGGTAAGAACTTTGGTACATGTACACTGTGGTGTACAGTTTAGTTTACACTTTACCAGGTGACATTACCCTATTGGACAATTTAAATTTCAAATAGTTTTTCCATCCAATTGACACATGAGAACAATGCAGGTATCAAACAACGAGTCAAAAATTAGTGTATAAATAGCAAAGTTCAACCGGTAAGAACCTTGCGACATGTACACAATAGTGTACACTTTAGTTTACACTTTGCCACGTGCCATTACCCTGTTGGACAGTTTAAATTTTAAACAATTTTCCCATCCAATTGACACTTGACAGCAATACAAGTGTCAAACAACGTGTCAAAAATCAGTATGCAAATAGCAAAGTTCAATTGGTAAAAACCTTGCTACATTTACACTATGGTGTACACTTTAATTTACACTTTGCCGCGTGACATTACCCTGTTGGACAGCCTAAATTTTAACTAGTTTTCTCATCCAATTGATGCTTGACAACAATGAAAGTGTCAAACAACATGTCACAAATCACTGTACAACTATCAAAGTTCAATAGGTAAGAACTTTGCCATACAAACAATATGGTGTACACACTTTAGTTTACACTTTACCACGTGACATTACCCTATTTGACAGTACAAATTACCAACAAATTTCCCATCCAATTGACACTTGACAACAATGCAAGTGTGAAACAATGTGTCAAAAATCAGTTCACAAATAGCAAAGTTCAATCGGTAAGGACCATGCCACATATACACTATGGTGTATACTTTAGTTTACACTTTGCCACGTGACATTATCCTGCTAGACAATTTAAATTTCAAACTATTTTTCTGTCCAATTGACACTTGAGAACAATGCAAGTGTCAAAAATCAGTGTACAAATACCAAAATTCAATCGGTAAGAACCTTGCTACATGTACACTATGATGTACACTTCAGTTTACACTTTGCCACTTAACATCACCCTGTTGGACATTTTAATTTTAAATACTTTTCCCATCCAATTAACACTAGACAACAATGTGAGTGTCAAACAACGTGTCAAAAATTAGTCTAGAAATAGCAAAGTTCGATCGGTAAGCAGCTTGCTACATGTACACTATGGTGTGCAATTTAGTTTACACTTTACCATGTGACATTACCCTGTTGTACAGTTTAAATTTCAAACAGTTTTTCCATCCAATTGACACTTGACAACAATACGAGTGCTAAACAACGTGTCAAAAATCAGTGTAAAAAAAACGAAGTTTAATCGATAAGAACCTTGCTACATGTACACTATGGTGTACGCTTTAGTTTGCAATTTGCCACGTGACATTAACCTAATGCATAGTTTAAATTTCAAACAGTTTTCCCATCCAATAGTCACTTAACAACAATGCAAGTGTGAAACAATGTGTCAAAAATCAGTTTACAAATAGCAAATTTCAATCGGTAAAGACCTTGCCACATGTACACTTTGGTGTACACTTTTGTTTACACTTTGCAACGTGACATTACACTGTTGGACAGTTTAAATTTCAGTCAATTTTCTCATCCAATTGATACTTGACAACAATGCAAGGGTTAAACAACGTGTCAAAATCAGGGGACAAATAGCAAAGTTCAATCGTTTAGAACCTTGCTACATGAACAATACAATGCAAGTGTCAAACAATGTGTCAAAAATCAGCGTACAAATAGTAAAGTTCAATCGGTAAGAACCTTGCTACAGGTACACTACGGTGTACACTTTAGTTTACACTTTACCACATGACATTACCCTATTGGACATTTTAAATTTCAGTCAATTTTCCCATCCAAATGACACTTGACAACTATGCAAGTGTCAAACAATGTGTCAAAAATCAGCGTACAAATAGTAAAGTTCAATCGGTAAGAACCTTGCTACAGGTACACTACGGTGTACACTTTAGTTTACACTTTACCACATGACATTACCCTATTGGACATTTTAAATTTCAGTCAATTTTCCCATCCAAATGACACTTGACAACTATGCAAGTGTCAAACAATGTGTCAAAAATCAGCGTACAAATAGTAAAGTTCAATCGGTAAGAACCTTGCTACAGGTACACTACGGTGTACACTTTAGTTTACACTTTACCACATGACATTACCCTATTGGACATTTTAAATTTCAGTCAATTTTCCCATCCAAATGACACTTGACAACTATGCAAGTGTCAAACAATGTGTCAAAAATCAGCGTACAAATAGTAAAGTTCAATCGGTAAGAACCTTGCTACAGGTACACTACGGTGTACACTTTAGTTTACACTTTGCCACGTGACTTTACTCTATTGGGCAGTATAAATTACAAACATTTTTTCCACCCAATTGATACTTGACAACTACGCAAGTGTCAGACAACCTGTTAAAAATCAATTTACAAATAGCGAAGTTCAATCGGTACGAGCCTTGCTACATGCACACTTTACATTGTACTTTACCACATGACATTACCCTGCTGGACAGTTTAAATTTTAAATAGTTTTTCCATCTAATTGACACTTGACAACAATGCAAGTGTCAAACAACGTGTTAAATATTTGGGTACAAATAGCAAAGTTCAATCGGTAAGGACCTTGCTAGATGTACACTTTAGTACTCTTTGTCAGGTGACATTACACTGTTGGACAGTTTAAATTTCAAACAGTTTTCCTATAGTATTAACACTTGACAACTATGAAAGTGTCAAAGAACGTGTCAAAAATAAGTGTACATATAGCAAAGTTCAATCGCTAAGCACCTTGCTACATGTACACTATGGTGTACACGTTAGTTTACACTTTGCCACGTGACATTATCCTGTTGCTCAATTTAAATTTCAAACAATTTTCCCATCCAATTGTCACTTGACAATAATGCAAGTGTCAAACAACGTGTCAAAAATTAGTTTACAAATAGCAAAGTTCAATCGGTAAGGACCTTGCTACTTGTACACTATGGTGTACACTTTAGTTTACACTTTGCCACGAGAAATTACCATGTTGGACTATTTAAATTTCAAACAGTTTTTCCATCCAATTAACACTTGACAACAATGCAAGTGTCAAATAACGTGTCGAAAATCAGTGTACAAATAGCAAAGTTCAATCGGTGAGGACCTTGCTACTTGTACACTATGGTGTACACTTTAGTTTACACTTTGCCGCATGACATTACCCCGTAGAGCATTTTAAATTTCAAACAGTTTTCCCATCCAATTGACACTTGACAACAATGCAAGTGTCAAACAACGTGTCAAACATCAGTGTACAAACAGCAAAGTTCAATTGGTAAGAACCTTGCTACATGTACATTATGGTGTACACTTTAGTTTACACTTTGCCACGTGACATTACCCTGGTGGACAGTTTAGATTTCAAATAATTTTCCCATCCAATTGTCACTTGACAACAATGCAAGTGTCAAACAACGTGTCAAAAATCAGTTTACAAATAGAAAAGTTCATTCGGTAAGGACCTTACTGCATGTACTCTATGGTGTACACTTTAGTTTACACTTTTGTCACACCCCCAAATTAATATTGATATCTATACACAACCTAGACATAGAATTTTACATATATATTTTTTTTTAGTTTGTTAACTTCTAATCACCTGTGACACGATCATATAATATATCGAAACCCAAAATCATATCGCCATAATCCAACATATATATTCAGAGCTTATAAACATGTCTACAGACCATTTCAAAAGTACACTATATAGGATTCCAAAATATAACCCTACAGATGGCAACCTACAAAATAACCCTACAGGTCGTCATCCATGTACATCAAACTCTGGAATCTTGTAGGAGCTCCACAGCTAGCCATGCTCTCTATGTAGTTCCATGTTCACCTACAATGCAAGAACTACATAAGCTAATGCTTAGTAAGCAAAATCATGCATGTCCTGAACATAAGTAATTCATGCCATTTACTTTAAATATCACGATAAAAAGTATCATATTTCAATATTTGTCAAAGTCGACTAGAAATCAATTCACTTGAAATCTTTCATTTCATTGGGCCCTTGACCCACCTACTATGCACCGGATAGAGCTCTGCATAATATCAATATCAATAATCAAATGGCCAGTATGAAATTGACACCGACAAGTGGACCATCCTCTCGTAACCACTAGAGGCCCATCCCCTGACTACCCCTATGATCACCCAAGAAGTCTCCCACATGGCAGCGCCAATAATATCACAAGGGCACAGTCAAGTGGTCTGCCATCCCGTGATCACCAAAGGCCCATCCTCTATCTACCTTTGCAATCACCCAGGAAGTAACACCCGCAATGCCAAACATATCACATAAGCATGCCTCACATGCCTCGGTGCCCTAGTAGTGGTTAATAAAACATTTATAATGAAACTCACTTTGAAATCATATTTTGCATGCAGGATTTTCAACCATGTTACATGTCGTGCATGCATATGAAAATACTCATAAATGACGTATTTAATAAAAATCGGTGTCAATAGGTTACGCAACCTCATACTCAATGATCGTAACCACCATATGATGTGCTATAAGCCTCTTATCAAAGTTATGTAGATATTTCAACATTACTATGTCACATATACTAGGTTCTTGCATCATAGTTGCAAATGGATTTTCACTTACCTTTCGCCTTTATGTGTGTAAGCTCCTATGGAGTGTGTATCAATTCCCTTTTTCGCTCAACATTGAAAAGTCGCCTGTATTATCATCTAATATTAAATACAATCCTCCATTTAACAATCTTAACACACACAATCCCAAAATACGTCCATTCAATCCAAAACAATTTAGACAAAATCATTATTTCAAGTTACCGATGGCATTACAAACTAATCCCATAAGTCTTGCTATCTCTCGAGTCCAATTATGAACGTCAACGTCATCCAATTGTTTTCGACAACCTAGTATTCCTTAGGATATATTTTCTAGGCCCAAGAGTTCATTAGGGGACATCTAAATGTTGAAATCACATTAAATACCCAAATGGACAGAATCTGTTTTCTAGGTTTCCATCACCGTCCACTCATTTTCAAATTCTTTTTTCATGTCCATACCTACATTTAACGGCTCCCAAACTTTTACCACACACCTATAACATATATGTGAAGATAATCAGATCATAACGTTGTGACAAATGAAGTTTTTGGAGCTTCAAAAACAGTCCATTTTCCACTACACAAAATCAGGCAGTTTTTCCCTTTGACTGTTTTCGGTTTCCATTTTATTATTATGATACCAACAGAATTCTAGGCCATTAAAATCATTTCTACACTCCCTACTTACATATAAAAACTTTCATATTGATATATATAAGTTAAACACTAAGTATCATCCCAAAATCAAGGTATAGATCACTCAATCCAGCAATTCCTCATCTCTGTCCAGATTACTTTCTTTCAAATTCTTGCAATTAATTACCCCTATTTAGGCATCATAACATCATTAACAACACTCCAAATTAATCACAAACAAGGTCAGATTTCAAGAAATCATAAGCCCCTTAAGAAATAATAGAAACAAACCTCAAAACTGTGGAGTAACAAAGCTGTTCAGAAATTCCAGCTTCTTGTTTCTCTTTCTCTTTGACTGTTTCACCCTCTTTTCACTTGGAATCACTTAGGGACGAGTTAAGAGAGTTAATATATTATCTAGGAGGTAAATGAGTGGTCTTTAAATGGTTGAAGTCGTGCATATTACTTAAGGATTAAGAATATCATGGGATGCAGCCACCTCAAGCAATCAAGGTGAGTCACTAAGCAGGAGCTGTCATCTTGGCTGCAATACTTGACTTTTCTACTATTATTTTTGTGTCCATTTATGATATTTAAGATATATATTCATCCTATATTAAGTCCTTGGGGATTAGACACGAAATTTATGTCTTAAGGTTGAAGCAATTATATATTAAAGTGAAAAGTCCCCTCGCATGAGCTGTCCAAGTAGAAGGTGGCTTCTTGCAGCCAACTTTGACTTCTCCCTTACACCACATGGAGCCATATGTGACTTAGAAGAGTTATAAGTATCTTGTGTAAAGTTCTAAGGACTTATAGGACGTGTCGGACGCTTAAGGTTGAAGGAATTAGAGGTTAAAGTGGCAAGTCGTCACATGTTAAGTAGGTGTTGTCTCCTTTGATTAAATTCTGATTTTACATCTATCCTTGCAGGTATAAATCAAGTGTCATTGGTTTATTTTGATGTTCTTACAATCTATTTCACTTGCATTAGGATCCCAAAGTATTTTACAGATCTAATTCCTCAACTGATCATTTAATTTCTTACCCTATTCTCAACTGATTTCAGCAATTCGCACCTCAATATTTATAATGTCATATAAGACATATATTATTACGTTGTGATAATGTCACTTCATCCCTCATGTCCCAAATATGTGAATTACCTATCTAGGGTTTAAGGTGACCTCGATTAGCCGAATGGAAAGCTTGAACCTTTGTTGATATAAATTTTCAGCCTTTCAAATATTACAATACTTACCAAGCCAACCTCCAACATTTAGTTAATCTAACTTTCTATCATAGCTCAATATAAAATTCACCACCTAGATCGAAGGGTCGAAGGTTATCACCATGTAAAGATTTTAAAGCCTTGATGATCAAATGCATCGTTTTAAGAGAAGGCAATCAGGAAATTGATACAAATGATAATGTAATTAGAATGGAATGCATGAATCATATTGGCCAAATATAGAACGTGAAGTTCGGGGTATTACAACTTTTCCACGTGACATTACCCTATCGGATAGTTTAAATTTCAAACAGTTTTTCCATCCAACTGACACTTGATAACAATCCAAGTGTTAAACAATGTGTCAAAAATCAATGTAGAAATTGCAAAGTTCAATCGGTAAAAACCTTACTGCATGTACCCTATGGTGTACACTTTAGTTTACACTTTGTCACGTGACATTACCCTGTTGGACAGTTTAAAATTCAAATAGTTTTTCCATCCAATTGACACTCGTCAACAATGCAAGTATTAAACAACATGTCAATAATCAGTATAGAAATAGCAAAGTTCAATCGGTAAAACATTGCGACAAGTACACTTTGGTGTACACTTTAGTTTACACTTTGCCACGTGTCATCACCCTGTTGGACAGTTTAAATTTCTAACGATTTTCCCATCCAATTGACACTAGGCAACAATCCAAGTGTCAAACAACGTGTCAAAATTATTTTACAAATAGCAAAGTTCAATCGGTATGAACCTTGCTACATGTACACTTTAGTTTACACTTTCCCACGTGACATTATCCTGTTGAACAGTTTAAATTTTCAATAGTTTTCCCGTCTAATTGGCACTTGACACAATGCAAGTATGAAACAACATGTCGAAAATCAGTGTACAAATAGAAAAGTTCAATCGGTAATAACCTTGTTGCATGTATACTATGGTGTACACTTTTGCTTACACTTTGCCACGTGACATTACCCTATTGGATAGTTTTAATTCCAAACAGTTTTTCCATCCAATTGACACTTGACAACAATGCAAGTGTCAAACAACGTGTCAAAAATCAGTGTAAAAATAGAAAAGTGCAATCGGTAAGAACCTTGCTACATGTATACTACGGTGTACACTTTAATTTACACTTTGCCATGTGACATTACCCTGTTGGACAGTTTAAAATTCAAACAGTTTTCCCATCCAATTGAACTTGACAACAATGCAAGTGTCTGACAACGCGTCAAAAATCAGTGTACAAATAGCAAAGTTCAATCGGTAAGAACCTTGCTACATGTACACTATAGTGTACCGTTTAGTTTACACTTCGCCACGTGACATTACCTTGTTGGACAGTTTAAATTTTAAATAGCTTTATCATCTAATTGACACATGAAAACAATGAAGGTATCAAACAATGTGTCAAAAATCAGTGTACAAATAGCAAAGTTCAATCGTTAAGAACCTTTCGACATGTACACTATAGTGTACACTTTAGTTTACACTTTGCCACGTGTCGTTACCCTGTTGGACAGTTTAAATTTCAAACAGTTTTCCCATCCAATTGATACTTGGCAATAGTACAAGTGTCAAACAACGTGTCAAAAATTAGTGTGCAAATAGCAATGTTCAATAGGTAAAAACCTTGCTACATGTACACTATGGTATACACTTTAATTTACACTTTGCCACGTGACATTACCCTATTGGACAGCCTAAATTTCAAATAGGTTTTCCATCCAATTGACACTTGACAATAATGAAGTGTCAAACAGCGTGTCAAAAATCAGTGTACAATTATCAAAGTTCAATCGGTAAGAACCATGCTACATGTACACTATGGTGTACACATTTTGTTTACACTTTGCCATGTGACATTACCCTATTGGGCAGTATAAATTACAAACATTTTTTCCACCCAATTGATATTTGAAAACTACGTAAGTGTCAAACAACCTGTCAAAAATCAGTTTACAAATAGCAAAGTTCAATCGGTACGAGCCTTGCTACATACACACTTTACATTGCACTTTACCACATGACATTACCCTGCTGGACAGTTTAAATTTCAAATAGTTTTTCCATCTAATTGACACTTGACAACAATGCAAGTGTCAAACAACGTGTTAAATATTTGGGTACAAATAGCAAAGTTCAATCGGTAAGGACCTTGCTAGATGTACACAATGATGTACACTTTAGTATACTCTTTGTCAGGTGACATTACACTGTTGGACAGTTTAAATTTTAAATAGTTTTCCTATAGTATTAACATTTGACAACTATGAAAGTGTCAAAGAACGTGTTAAAAATCAGTGTACATATAGCAAAGTTCAATCACTAAGCACCTTGCTACATGTACACTATGGTGTACACATTAGTTCACACTTTGCCCCGTGACATTACCTTGTTGCTCAATTTAAATTTCAAATAGTTTTTCCATCCAATTGTCACTTGACAATAATGCAAGTGTCAAACAACGTGTCAAAATTAGTTTACAAATAGCAAAGTTCAATCGGTAAGGACCTTGATACTTGTACACTATGGTGTACACTTTAGTTTACACTTTGCCACGAGAAATTACCATGTTGGACTATTTAAATTTCAAACAATTTTTCCATCCAATTAACACTTAACAACAATGCAAGTGTCAAACAAAGTGTCGAAAATCAGTGTACAATAGCAAAGTTCAATCGATGAGGACCTTGCTACTTGTACACTATGGTGTACACTTTAGTTTACACTTTGCCGCATGACATTACCCCGTAGAACAATTTAAATTTCAAACAGTTTTCCCATACAATTGACACTTGACATCAATGCAAGTGTCAAACAACGTGTCAAACATCAGTGTACAAACAGCAAAGTTCAATCGGTAAGAACCTTGCTACATGTACACTATGGTGTACACTTTAGTTTACACTTTGCCACGTGACATTACCCTGGTAGACAGTTTAGATTTCAAACAATTTTTCCATCCAATTGTCACTTGACAACAATGCAAGTGTCAAACAACGTGTCAAAAATCAGTTTACAAATAAAAAAGTTCAATCGGTAAGGACCTTACTGCATGTACTCTATGGTGTACAATTTAGTTTACACTTTTTCACGTGACATTACCCTGTCGGATAGTTTAAATTTCAAATAGATTTTACATCCAATTGACACTTGATAACAATCCAAGTGTTAAACAATGTGTCAAAAATCAGTGTACAAATAGCAAAGTTCAATCAGTAAGAACCTTACTGCATGTACCCTATGGTGTACACCTTAATTTACACTTTGTCACGTGACATTATCCTGTTGGACAGTTTAGAATTCAAATAGTTTTTTCATCCAATTGACACTCGTCAACAATGTAAGTGTTAAACAACGTGTCAATAATTAGTGTAGAAATACAAAGTTCAATCAGTAAGAACATTGTGACAAGTACACTTTGGTGTACACTTTAATTTACACTTTGCCACATGTCATCACCCTGTTAGACAATTTAAATTTCTAACAATTTTCCCATCTAATTGATACTTGGCAATAATACAAGTGTCAAACAACGTGTCAAAAATCAGTGTGTAAATAGCAATGTTCAATAGGTAAAAACCTTGCTACATGTACACTATGGTGTACACTTTAATTTACACTTTGCCACGTGACATTACCCTATTGGATAGCCTAAATTTCAAACAGTTTTCCCATCCAATTGACACTTGACAACAATGAAGTATCAAACAGCGTGTCAAAAATCAGTGTACAATTATCAAAGTTCAATCGGTAAGAACCTTACCATATAAACAATATGGTGTACACNACAATGTGTCAAAAATCAGTGTACAAATAGCAAAGTTCAATCAGTAAGAACCTTACTGCATGTACCCTATGGTGTACACCTTAGTTTACACTTTGTCACGTGACATTATCCTGTTGGACAGTTTAGAATTCAAATAGTTTTTTCATCCAATTGACACTTGTCAACAATGTAAGTGTTAAACAACGTGTCAATAATTAGTGTAGAAATACAAAGTTCAATCAGTAAGAACATTGTGACAAGTACACTTTGGTGTACACTTTAATTTACACTTTGCCACATGTCATCACCCTGTTAGA